TGTGGCGTGCGGCAGCGGCGTCAACATGTACGCCATGCTGACGGGCACGCTGCCGTTCACCGTGGAGCCCTTCAGCCTGCGCGCGCTGCACCAGAAGATGGTGGACAAGGAGATGAACCCGCTGCCTCCCTCGCTCTCCACAGGTAGGCGCCCCGCCCCCAAAGCCGATCCTTCAAAACGTCCTTCCCCGTCCTCCGAACGTTCATCCTGACGTCGGACGCGCGAACCAGCACCTGCACCGGGCCGGCGTGGTGCACAGGTACGCTGGCTCCAAACCTCCAAACGGCCAAAGGCGGCCGCCCGGGGGTCAAACTTTCAGCCACAACTTTGCACTTTCAGCAGAGGCTCAAAAGCCTCATTTCGGAGACCCCGCCCACCCCCCCCCAGATTGAATCCCTGCTTTGCGAGCGTCCTCTCGGCCGACATCCCAAACGCGCCCGAAGCCCCGATTTGAAACCCTAATCACAGAAGCCTCGATCGCGTCCCGATACTTTTTCCCAAGTGAGCAGCCAGCATGACCCGCCTCAGGGGGGCTTGCTCGGGGCATTGACCCCCCCCCCCACTCCTTCCCGCCTTTATGCTCGAGTATGAAGATTTGCGTAAGTCTCATGTCAAGACATTTTCTCTCCCTCTCTCTTGCAGAGACTTGAAGATTGAAAACCTTCTGTTGGACGAGCAGGACAACGGGGCGCCCTACCTCAACAGGTACGGCCGCCGACGGGGGTCTGCGCCTCCCCGGCTCCCTCGCCGCCACGCCGCCGCCCTTTCTCAACTGGGGGGGGCTCCTTTGTGCAAGGATCCACATCGAGGAGATCAACCACACGGTGCTGCTGCACATGACGGAGAAGATGGCCTACAAGCACAGCGAGGTCCTCGGCGCCGTGCTCACCAACCGCGCCTGCCACACCCTGGCCGTCTACTTCCTGCTCAACAAGAAGATGAAGCGGCTCTCCAAAGAGTACAGGGTACGTCCCCCCCGTCCCATTGAAAGAAAAGAAAAAAAAAACACCGAACAAATGTCGGCCAAAGGTGCCGCAGATTCAACGGACGCGTCTTAAATTTGATCGCTGGCCTTCAAAAGGCTCGCTCAAGGCGATCCCGTTCATTGGCAAAGTCCGAAACGTGCTGAAAGTCGTCGGTGCGAACAAAGTGATCCAAGCTGCGCCCGCGTCCTCTCAGGAGATGCGCTTCCAGGAGGAGAAGAAGGGCGACAAGGCGAAGAACGAGTACTTCCAGACGCAGTGGCGCAAGCACGTGGACAAGCTGACCATCCCGCCCAAGCAGGCGCCCGTCTACCTGGCCGTGAGCAAAGGACCCGGCAAGGAGAAGAAGCACCGCAGCGGTGAGCCTCGGCCCCCCCCCCCTCTTTTCCCCGTGCCGCCGCGTGTTCTCTAGCGCTAACCCTCGGTCGTCGCGCAGGTCTGCTCCGCGCTCTGACCGGCGGCCACCGCAACTCGCCGCTGGCGCCGCCGGGCACGGTGGCGTCGTCGTCCATGGAGTACCTGGAGATCCAGCCCCTGTTCTCGTCCCACACGCCGCCGCAGCGCCGCCGCCTGGCCACCATGCCGCCCGTCAACGTGGGCAGCCCCGAGCGCGGCGTGCCGGCCC